AGCCACGGCTCAGCCAGACAAATAAGGCATCATCATGATGGATAATCTGTCTTGCTGTAGTTTAAATCGAGCCAATATTTCGAAGCTGTTACCTGTTTTGAGCGTCCAGTAAAAGCACAGCATTTTCATCAAGAAGATATTTATTTCTCGTTTGCAGTGCCCTCTTCTCCTAAAATTGGTGAATAATATGTGTTAGTGTATAATAAAACGTAGTGTTTTACATTGTCAAGCACTCAAAACATACTCTTTGTCCTCGCTCAAAATAGTGGAATGCATGTATTTTCGAAGTAACCATCTCACTACACCTTTCTAGTGAACTGGAACAGAACGCTACACAGATGACTTCCTTAATTGAAATGGTTTTAAATCTTCTTTTAATTAAAAAGACTTCGTCAGAAACAGAACACGGCCAAGAAGGCTTATTAAAAATGCATATAAAAGAATATTTAAAACCATTTCAATTATGAAAGTGACCTATAATTATACAAACGTACATGTACTACAGGATTGTAAACTACTGTATACAAACCTCATTTACATCTTTTAGATCTTTCTTAAGCCTTCCCACTTGCCGTTCAGTTTCGACTAAAAGACATGAAAAATTTAGGTCAATTCTTCGATCCGAGTTGACGACATCAGGCCTTAAAATATCTTTTCCAGGGCCGTCTGACATAATGTCCGGTGACGTTGAGTTTGGGTCGGACATATGTCCGATGACCTTCAGTTCAGTTTTGACTCGGAAATAAGTCCGAATGACACAAATGAATAACGGTAAATGTTGTAAAGATATTAAATAATTGGTTTCTTTCACACTTATTTCCACGCCAAAATTAACTTGCTTGCCAGAACAGCAGTATTAAAAAAGACTTCGATTTCGACCATTTCGCTCGCCGCCCCGCGCTCGACTACGTTAAAACAACATTTCCAGTTCACCTTTTGTACAATATACTCTGATTTTCCATTTAACATACAAGTCTCTAGTCCTGGACTAGGGTACATTACGTCGGACAAAGCACGAGGTTGCAGTTCGGTCGGACACCAATACACTCGGGTCGGACAAACAATAAACCTCCCTTTCATTTTGGTCGGACAGAATGTCCGGTGGTTTCCACTCTACGTCGGACAATTTCACGAATGGGTCGGACAATGTCCGTGACCAACCGATATTTTAAGGCCTGACGACATCAATTTTCCATCACACTATCTACATATTTTAGCCAAAACTAGACCTCAGAATTGCCATCTTCATGCTCATATTAGTCTATACCTCTCTGAGTTCGTGGGTTCGATTCCGGACTCATGTGAAAAGAGTCAGTCAACGCTCTGCCGAAAGGCGTGTGTTTTCTCCGGGCACTCCGGTTTCCTCCCACAGGAAAAGTTGGCAGGATGGGTTAGGATAAACCAGTGAACTCTAATAAGACTGGAACGATAACTCGGCCGCCATCTTTGAAGCCAAATTGAAGGCCGCCATTGGAGGTACGGCGGCGAAAATACACCTCTTCGAAAAACTCGGATTTCTGCCTTTCTAGCTATGCTAGAACATAGATAAAACGCTTAAAAACATCTACGATACTTGGACTATTGCACAAATCATGTTTGGAAGCCGTGGAAAAGACTTAACGTTATTTTTTGTGTACCTGAAAGTCGTATTTTGTTCGGCACGGAAAATATTTTGTTATTTTCTTGAATACAAAAATGGTACCTTTCAAGATTTTGCTGTTAGTGGATGTAGAATACTTAGAACTATCCAGAAAACCAAGTTTGAATCTTTGAAATTGAAATCTTCGGACGAAAAACCTAATTTTTCGGCGTATTTTTGCTAAAAAAACAAAATTATGAGGAAATTGAACTCTCCCCAGTTCTTTTTTGAAAGTCACAGCGCGCGAACTTTTCCCGGGCGCCAAATCACAAATCGCAAATCACGGGGGATTTCTACGGAAAAATCGATTTATTCACATTTTAGAGAAGTCAAAAAGCACTCAAAATAAACAACTATACCTAGACGTTAATACAAAAAAGGTATTGGTCCGTAGACTTATGTTTTAAAGTTGTTTTTTTTAGTTAAAGAGCAAAGTTCATTTCGGCACGTTCAACTAGTGTCGTTTTTACGAAAACAAAC